AGAGTGTGTGAGTGTGTGTGTGAGTGAGTGAGAGTGTGTGTGTGAGTGAGAGTGTGAGTGAGTGAGTGAGTGTGTCTACTAAAACCATGAATTTGTTTTTTTTTACTTGAAATAAAACAAACGTTTTTTATTTCGAAATTATATATATTTAACTTATTTTATTTCAGCTGGTTGCCAGTGCAACTTTTTTCATTTTCATGTAGTTTGTCTTGATTGTACTAAAATATCAAAAACTGAAATTAACACAAAACCATATAGATATATTAAAATAAATAAATAAAAATTACAAAAATACACAACGAAATTACTAAAACTTGAACTAAAATTAAATTGAAAATGGAAAATATCAAATAAAAACTAAGCCATTATATTAATAAAAACTATAACCGTATCTCAGCGATGCAAAAATAATTTAATTTATTTGTCACACATCTTAGTATTTCAGATAATTTATTGTATTAGAGCTGAAAAATGGACAGCGCTGATTCTGTCTGCATTTTTAATTTTAATTTTAATATTATTATTAATAATAATAATATAAAAAATTCTTATTATTTTCTGTCAAATGTAAAATATTTTTTTCCCCAAAATAACATTAATGCCTTTTAATAATTATATATATATATATATATATATATGTATATGTGTGTGTGTGTGTAATAATTATATATATATATGTATATGTGTGTGTGTGTGTGTATACTGCATTAGTATTTTATAATAATATAATACTGTATTATCTTTTTTTATTATTATTTTATAGCTGTATATTACTGCCATATGGACATTAATCTAACCAGGGTCATTATAGTTAACTAAAACTTAAACCATAAAAAAAAAATAAAAAAATTTTTGTTACTGAAAATAAAATAAATGTTAACTGAATTTGAAAAAATCCTAAAAGTTTTTGGACATTTCTCATTTTCATTTAGTTTTACTTGAGCTACTAAAATAACTAAAACAGTTGAAAAAATCCGTAAAGCTGCTTTGAAACAGTATTGTGGAGAGCACTGTACAAATGAACTTGAACTGAAATCGAAAAACGGCTCTCATGTGAACAGCTCAGTGTGCATTAGGTCTAAATCCAGGGCGGTGACTGTAAAAGATGGAATTAGTGTTTATGAGCAGGACTGCCGTTCCGCACGGATGTCATCTGTTTTCAGTTACACGCACAGCTCTCTGGATCTGAACATCATTCCCAGCCTGCTCTGCAGGATAAATCACACGGATGCGGCTGTAGAGATGTGCTGCTGGCTCAGGAGGTTTTGGGTGGTACTGCAAAGAGACTAGTCTCTAAACCTTTGACTTTTAACCCTCGACACCCTGAATCTGTTGGTCACAAATAACCACCGCGGTCTGCAGTAAGACTCTGATCCTGTGCCGTCACATGAAGATTAAAGAGACAGGCAGTAAAAATCCCAGTTGGACCAATCTCACAAAACTGGCCAAGAACATGCCTGTGTCATATTTCAGTTCAAAATCAAAAGAAATTATATTTAGCATAAACGTAAATGCAATTTTTTATAATGTAATGCAAAAATATATAATTCTCATATTTTATAGATTTAGATTTAGATTTCATAAATATCTATACAGTACATCATAGTAATGTTTGTTATGCTGAATTTAATATTTGCTGATTTTAATGGCTGTGGACCAAAAGTAAACGTTGCATTAAATTAAATGTTGCATATAAAAATATTGTTGCATATTATAATGTACATTTTCAAAATGAAATTAACTTTTATATGTGAAATATTCTCTACATTTCTATGCAAAAAAATGTTAAAGCAAAAAGATAAATTAGAAATATATGCTTCAGTTGCCTTGGCAGCTAACTAAATAAAAGTTGAAGTTCTAAAATTACTCAAATTAAAACAAAATAAATAAAAGCTAAATAGAAATATAAAAACTAATAACTAATAAAAATGGCAAAAACACATCACACAACATGATTAAAATATAAAATAAAATTAAAATCTGAAAATAAAAACTAATTCACAATACTAATACTAAAATAACACTGCTGCCCACCAATGGACTGTTTTCTTAATAATTATTGCAAGTTATTGGGCTATATATCAAAGTATTTGCAAATGCATTCATTAATTGATTTGGCCAAATCAATGGTCTCTATGGGCCAGCTTTGGCTTGCAGTTTGAGCGTCTCTGGACTAAATCTAAATAATCTTAATGCAAAGTATGTATTTATTTCTTTTTGTGACTTTGAGATTCACACAGTTAATGAATAGATATAAAAGTTTTTTACAAAACAGCACAAACAGTATTTTCCCAAAAGGTCCACAGTATTTTCGAGTCTTATGATAAATAATTCATAAGCGTATATATTTATTTTTGGTTAATAATGTCACCCTCGTGGTCAGGGAGCGTCACGATGGCCCTGCTGGAGAATCTTCAGTCCGGTCAGGTGTACCTGGTGAAGGTCTCAGCGTCCAATCAGATGGGAGACGGACCGTTCTCACCTGCAATAGAACTGACCGTGGCTACAGACGGACACGCCCCCCGAGCACACGGCTCCGCCCACGGCACTGGTGAATAACAGAAGCTTTCCAGTCATGCAGTGCCCTCTTTAAGCTGGGAGAAGATGTTGAAATCAATAGAAATATTGCATTTAAATGCATTTTCTTACATGCCATTCATGTGAAAATCCACATAGATGAGATAAACACAATATGCAAGTCATGGCATCATCTTCATATTGTTTTTTGCTCTGTCTGCAGCGTTTTCTGATGGTTTCTATCACCTGGATCAGAGGTCAATGACGGGGATAGTGGTGGGCGTGTGCATCGCTTTAACCTGCATTATCATCTGCGTCCTCATACTGGCCTGCAGGAGCAAAACCAGGTAAGAGATCGCCTGGATAAACACCTGAGGTTATTGTTAACTAAAACTAGTTAACTAAACTCATTTTTTAGTTATTGAAACAAAGCTGAAATATGAATGAAATATTAGATGAAATACAACAAAAAAAAAAACTGAAAAAATTTGAAACTGAAATAAAAATAAAAAAAACAACTGAACAAAATAAAATTCTCAAAACCAAAACTGAAATAAAAATGAATGAAAGCTAAATAGAAAAATAAAAAAAAACGAATTAAACTTACAAAAACACTTAACACTTAAAAAAAAAAAAATAAAATAAAATAAAAGCTAATTCAAATTATAAATAAATACTATAATCGTGTATAAATAATACTAAAATAACACTGCTTCCTACCAGTAGATATTTTCTTGCTAATTATTGCACATTATTTGGGCTATATATCAAAGTAATTACATATGCATTCTCAAATGTCAGTTAATTGATTGTTTTCATGGCTGACCTGCATTATTCATGACACAGGCAATCATCCACTACCAAATCCATCAGACAAGCAGGAGGACAGACTCCGCCCACTGCTGTCCGTCTGGCCAATCAGAGTCAAGCTGAGAGTGTGGAGGTGAAGATGCCCATGATGAGGGATCAATTCATAGATGCAAACGCATGTTTAAAATGACATGTGTGTGTGTGTGTGTGTGTGTCTTTTGTGGAAACAATGTTCTGATGATTGTGTTTCACTCTTTTAGGGCGGAACAAATCTGATCATTAACAGCTATGGACCAGTGAAGCCCACCACTGAGAAGAAGAAACGAAAGAGATGGAACTTCTTTAAGAGGGATAGCAAGGTATGAAACCATTTACAACTTTCAGTGAGGATTATTAAAGAAACGGTCAGACAGAACCATAACCTAACATCCGAATGAGGGAAAAACATACTCAAAATAATGCTTTTCATTTTTAATAATATGCTCTTTTGTTGATTTTGATTGCTTCCATTGTCCTCATTTGTACGTCGCTTTGGATAAAAGCGTCTGCTAAATGACTAAATATAATAATATTGCAAATGATACAATATAATATATTATGTTCATGTGACATTATCATAATAAACTATAGTAGTTTACTATAAACTATTTATTATTATTATTATTATTATTATAAATGAGTATAAATTAAAGGTGGTAAATACTGCCATGATGAATATTCTGTGTTGTTATTGTAAGCTAAAACTATAAAAAAAAAAGTAAAAATAATAATAAAAAATAATAAAACATTGAAATGATGCCTTGGCAACTACCAATAAT